TACTTTAGTTTTGATGCAAAAACGCATGATCGCACCGGCTCGCGTGGTGCGTTCCAGCCTTTGTTCTAAAATGGCGTTGAACCGGGAGGGAATCGAACCACTTCTCTTCGCGCTCGAATGCAACGTACTACCACTACACCACTACTCCTATGCTCTAAACTCAACCTAGTAGCACATCTACAGTGTATCTGCTTTTCAAGGCAAGATTCGCTTTTCTTTTTATCTCTTTTTCTTTGTGGGGATTCTTAGCCGTTTCTTCTGGGTTTTCGTGACACTGTGAATTCGAAAGGCTATAAGTGACATTGCAATTCTGTCGTTCCAGCCCACATCCCAGTATACTCAGCCTAACCAAGACAATGTGTTTCTTCTGAAACATCCTGAAATAACGTCAGGCATTACACACAAAGTATCCTTCTGTTATTTTTGTTTGGTAATGCAACTTTTTTCTGCAGTCGTGTTTATGGTATTCGCGAAGAGTGGCCAGCAAAAACTGCAAATTACACAAATAACTTGGCCAAATTTGTCGACCAGTGCAATAAATCGTGGAGAAATCGTCTGAAAAAAATTGGACAAATTCCGGAATTGAAAACTTTACAGCGCAATCGATGGCCAAATCGAGCGAACAAAGTAAGATTTATTGTCGTAGCTTTTTCAGTCCATGATATAGCAGATGAGGGCAGTTGGAAGCGGGCGACTCAGTTTTCCTAAATTAGCGTGCTTTTCAAAAAAATGGAATGGCAATTTATACCTCGAGTTCTCCTTTTTTGGAATTTTTTTCGCTTGCTTCTCACAGAGCGTGCATATGAGAGGGACTTTAACCGGATAATTTAGCTCTAGAGTCACAAAACCTATAGAGCTTAGTAGGCTTCCCTCCGTTTGCTGTACCAGACCTTTAAACATCGGATGTAGATTTGCACGAGCCTTTAGCTTTTAGTTATTGCTCCCTCGGCACATATGCCACTTCTTCGAGGATCACCCAAAAGTGGTTATTTACTTCATCCCAGATATATTTGAAATAGGATTATCAATTTACCATCAGAAAGATGGGTGAATCCATGACTGATTGTTTTGCGTACTGCAGAATTAACGGATAGAATTCAGAATAAGTGGCAGTTACGGTTGCGGTAGTTTCTCCATCACAGTTTATAATATAACATGAACACCAAGACCACCCGGATCTGTCAGTACGTTTGCCCCGCGTCAGTGATGTTACTGAGATGCTCCCACAATTCGGACGCAGTTATGCTGACCTTGGACCCTAGGCTCATTACTCATTGCGTTTATTTTCACGCATGTAACGCTCACTAATAAGTGACGACCACAATGTGTGTAGTAAGTGAAAGTTACATAATGCATACAACAAATAAATCCAGACACCGATGCACCAGGCTCGTCGATTCGATCATACGTTTTTGCTCGATTCCATCCTGCAGGAGCATCACCTGTACTATTAAGTGTGACTACAATGTTGCAATTGGAACGTTTGAAGCGCCTGTAGGTAAGGCCACGTCCAGACAGAAGCTCACCTTGCGCTTGGCGGCCAGCACATGAACAGCAAATACAACCAGAAAAATATTGTTTCCAGCTCAGTCTGGTTATTGAGCTATTTGGGTGCTAATACCGTTCCGAATTTAATATTCACTTGAGCCTAAGCAAGACTGAAATTAAAATATATGAGATGCAAATGGGCACAGTATATTCTCGTAAAATTCCCTAGTTTAATTGGCTGCTAAGTTTTGTGAATGTAAATAGTTTCAAAAAATTTCTGGAAAAAAACGAGCACCTGCTTTCCAAAGTGTAAGGAATTTTCTGAAAAATTATCTTTTTTTCCTTCAGGTAATGAAAGAATTAATTGACTGCATGAAAAACGTTTCTACTCAGCCTGTCGAAAAATGCGAAACACCACATCGTTGCCTTTCTGCCATCACCACCATCAAAGAAAGCGAGTGGATTATTCCGCAATCAACCTGGGTCGTTTTGTAGTGGTTCTTCAAAGGAGGTCGAGAAAATCGAAAATTTTCATAAAGCACGGTCGGACACATGTATATACACAGGCGGGACTTCGATAATAGCGACTTTTGCAACTGTTGCAGCACAAAATGCATAAAAAACTGGAAAATATACAGGACGGAAGTTTCTTCTACTTTTCGTATCCAGTGCTGCAGCCAGAATTCTTAGTTTTAGAATACGTAGAGTAATTTGCACTAATTAACCAATACTTTCTAATGCTTTTGTAAAAATAAAGAAAAAAAACCTGCTTATCTATTAGAATTGTATCTTTTTTGTCTGTTTAAATGTAAACAAATAGTTCTGCTTATAATATCAACACACTGATGATTTTCGTGATTATAGTCTGCATGCGCGCAAGAATGTCGAATCTGAAATCATTTTCAAATCATTCTATGTAGCTATGTTTAATTTTAGCTTTGAAGTTCAATTGCTATAACTTCAAAAAAGGGCAAATCTTGAAATTAACTTATGAGAATGGTCATTAATGCAGTGTATACATCGTTAAGCACTGAATCGTAGCTTCACTAGATTTTCACAGTATGCAATCAGCCAAGTGCTCTTAAACGCAGTGACTCACCAATAGGAACTGCTATCCACAAAAAAAATTAATTATATTAACCGTTTACCAAAATCATCAAAATTGCCGAGAAGGACAGTGTGGAAAAATAATGGAGAAAAAGATTGGAGTTAAATGTCATGTGCAAAAGAACATTTTATGATGCAGTC